TCAGTCCAAGGCAAGGCCAATATCAATACAAGGGATAGTGATACTCCATAAATACTTCCAATACAGCCACATCTGCCTAGCGCAATCCTGACACCCATTATCCCTGGCAGCCATCCTCAGTGGGAGCCAGTATCTTCTGTGTGTTTATAATAATATGACATGATGAAACAGGCATTCCTGCTGCTGTGCAATCACAACAAACACACACACACCACAACACAAGCATCTCTTCTGGTTAACGGAGCATGGATGAGGGGCTCACGAACTGCACTGCCCTCTGTGAAGAGGCCTCTGAGATCATCATAGCTGGGGTCACACTACTGTCACACACACTCACAGTCAGACGAAGAAGCTCCAAAAACATGGGATTGGTGTGTGTGTGTGTGTGTGTGTGTGTGTCAATCTTTTCAAGATAATGATCCAATCTATAGGATAGAGAAATCATCTATAGGATAGAGAAATCATCTATAGAGAAATCCTCTATAGGATAGAGAAATCATCTATAGGACAGAGAAATCATCTATAGGACAGAGAAAACATATATAGGATAGAGAAAACATCTGCAGGCAAACTGCTGCCACTGGATGCATCTTCTAGCCTACAATTACTCCCAAAATGCCATTGATTTCAATGAATTGAATTGACTGGGGGAGTCATTGCGTATATCCCTCTTAGAATAAAAGCAACTAAATCTGAAGGAGGTGAAAACGCTCAAAACCATGTGCATGGGAAACATAGGCAGGAGCGGGAAAGAGCAGACTCTCCTGTAGGTTAATTCAGGTTTGTTTACAGTGGCCAATGCTGAACCAGGGAAAGATGAAACCACTGAAAGCGGGTGGAAGTTTGATCTCTTTGATTAACTAAGAGAAAAAATACGATTGTATGCCTAGTCATTCCATAATCTTCTTATTTATATAAATAAGACATCTAAACTGATCTAGGATATATTGTAACTTGCCCTGTAGGCTACAGAACAGAGAAGTCTGGACAGAGCTATTTTTGTAAAGAAGTTATTCACTTGTGTTTCAACAAACAACGACTTCATACCAGACCTCTTTCATGGGAATTCCAGTGTTTAGGATGAAATTGTAAACTGGACGCGAACGAGCCAACTTCACGAGCGGCTGGATTGTTTTGAGCGAGCTTGTCAATCAACAGAACAGTGCCCAGAACCGCTGGCGGCCACTCCTGCTGAAAAGTAGCCGACTGATAAAATGTCCAGGGCGCGCAGACTAGGCTACTGTATATAGCCTACAATATAACACTGCCAGTAATATAAGCAACAGTAGCGAGGTGTTTCGGAGTCGAACTCAAGACTATTCACAATTTCTTGAGCAGTTCGTTATAGCGTGTAGCCTAAATCAGTAGAAGCAAAGAAAAAAACTCAACTGCATGCTTTCTGTTGAGGCTAAATGAAAGAACGTTTTGAATTTTTACGAACCTGGCAAAGCGCGGGGACTTCTCCTGTGCCAAAGCGCTGATGTTCGGAGTTTGTGTCACAGTCAGTTCTGTGTTTTCTGTCTCTCTCCTCTCCTCTCCTCTCCTCTCCTCTCCTCTGCGCTAGATTGTGCTGATGTTTTAACTTCCTCTTTCTTCACGGTCTGTTGGTTGGCTCCACTCTCTTCCGAGGCTCGAGCACCAATGCGAGGGACATCGACCAATTAAAACACAACAAACCCCGACAATTGAATGGGACGAGAGGACACTCCCCGTTGATGGGTGGCAATTATTATGATGCCAAATTAATAATGTCAACCTTGAACCTCGGGATAAGCGGAGGGCTCGGGGAACAATGCATTTAACATTTCATAGCAATCGATTAATTAATACATAATATATCAAAGACAGCATAGGGGTGGGGGTTAGGCCTATAACCTTGTAGCCTACCATAAAATACCTTTATTTGAAATAAAAGGGGAAAACTAACTTTGCTTGGGTAAGACCTCCTTAAAAAGAATAGTAATATTGCACATTCAAATCATGATCTGCTACTATTGGGACATAGCTTCTCCTTATGTCACATTTCACAATAGATCGAAACTGACAGTATATAGACGAGAATAATAGACAATCATGAAAAAGCTACAGTACAGTTCAGTACAGTACAGTCAATACCAGACTTAATTACATTCATGTCATATAGCTACACCTACTGGTTCCAATATCTAAGCTACCCAGCAAGAGAGAGAGAGTGAGAGTGAGAGAGAGAGACAGCCAGAGAGGGACGAGAGGAGAGTGGAGAAGCAGAGAGGAGAGGAGAGGGGAGGGACAGGGGAGAGATGAGAGGTAGAGAGGAGCGAGAGGAGGAAGAGTGGGAGAGGAGAGGGAGAGAGGGGAGAGGAGAGAGAGGGAGAGAGAGAGAGAGAGAGAGAGAGAGAGAGAGCGAGACAGACATAAAGAAAGAAAAAGAGGGAGAGAGAGAGATAGAGACATCTAGGAGTGAGTGATCTGAACTGTTGCCACTGTGCCAGGCTCACACAGCTCTCCTCTCCACAGTATAGCAACAGGATTAATACAGGGCCATGTGCCTCTACTGTCTGTCTGGAATATAATCTGGGTTAATGGTGTCCAAACACCCATCCTGAGAAACCTGTCTGTATGACTGAATCCCATGGCTTTCTCTCTAGTACTAGATCACGGCTAGGTCAAAATGAATGAAGCCATGCAATATGAGCAGTATTAAGTGGTGTTGCATAATGTCTTTGATTGATATGAGCTATCATATGATACGGTTAAAATTGGTAAAAAATATTTGTATTCTCTTTTTAATACCCACAAGAATTTGTCTGAGCCATCTAAATCCAAACAACATATTGTTTACACTTAGAAATAAAATAAAAACTATCCCAGTCCATGACCACAGTACCTTTGAGCCAAGTCAGAGCATAACTATAGCCAATGGAATCTGTCAAGTGAACTGTGTCAATTGTGCCATCATTCAATGTTAGGGACCCGATGCGATGGCAGTTTGTGGCAGAGCAAAATGGCATACACAAACAGGCAAATCATATCTAATTATCTTTAGACTAACTTCCCTGATCTCAAGACTGTACTGATCCTTCCTAACTGACCCTAACCCATTCTCCAGCCCCATAAGATAGAGTGGTTCAATATAGAGTCTTCTCTGCTCTAACTTAGCCAAAGTGGCAGATGACTCCCTCGGAGCAGCAGTGTCTCCGTGAAAGTCATCTAGGACATTCATGTCTGTTTCTGCTCAGAGGGCTACATGGTGCAGATGGGACACACTGTTTCAATGCTGTTGATTTATCGGAGGCCTTTGGCCAAAGCACCACAGAAAGGAATGGAGGGAGTTGCCATGGAAAGGAGGATAAGAGAGAGGGATGGGGGAGAGGAGAGATCAAATGAAGCTTTCAGTTACTAGGAAACACACACACACTAACCCATTCTGACGCACAAATAGATCCCTTCAGGCTTAACTACATGCAGAAACCACTAGGACGCTAATCAAAATTCAAATACATCTCCCCCCGAAGGACTGCTTAAACAGTCCTCTTATTGGGGTCATTAAAATAAGCAGTGCATATTTCTGGTCCTCCTCTAGATTTGATAGCACACTTCTCTAAATTAACATCCTATCAATAGGGAGGGGCAAAGTGGAGAAGTCTTTTGATGTGGCCTGCAGGGTGTGTGTGTGTGTTAGTGTGTCTGTTTTGTTGTTGTTGTACTGACAAAATGGCACATTAGTGAGTAATACTCCCTAGTCAGCCCTGGCCTTTCTGAGGTCTTTCAAGATCAAAGGAGAAGTGTCTTCTTTTTTGCCTTTCAAAAGGGGTCATTATAGTGGATAGAGATGTGTAATTCTAAGAATCAATGAAGGACAAGAAAGACCTACACAAACGTTGGCCGTGCGTTGGGGTGTCATCATTACACCCATTCTGTTGCAAAACGTTTTGCAACAGAAACCGTTTACTCAAATGGAGAAAAAAAAAACAAGTTTCTATTGGACAAATTCAGTTAGGTCGCACCCCATTTGTTTCATTTGATTCTTAAAGGTAAACGGTTTCCATTAGGAATACACTCCCGCTGGGTGTTGACGAACAGTGGCGATATAAACAGGAAATTACAGCCGATGTTCTGTGGTGATAGAACGGCCACCCACTGCGGATGGCCGATGTACGTGTTGGTCGGTCTTGTCCTTGTCACTATCAGACACTATGAGCCAAACAACATACATGCAGTTGAAAAATATTGAAAGACAAAGTGAATAATGACAAAACGAAAGTATATATATAATGTGAGGAGTAAGAGGCTTTCTCCTTGGTCACAGAGAACACACGGTCTCTCCCTTTCTCAAACTGGATTTAAATAAAACGTGAATTCCAACCTCAATTTATTCCAAATATTTATGTACAGTAGTAAGTATTCAAACATCCAGCAGCATCTTACAGAAGAAAATAAATATGGGAAAAATGTTGCTGCAATTTTTCCCACTCTTTTCGTCATACAACATGCCTACAATCAAGCTATTTGATACCTGCAATTTGAAAGCAAAACAAGAAGTTAAACACAATCTTTAACAACATGCTCTGTTTTGTAACATGTTTTCATTCAGATCTGATCCATCAAGCCAACATCCTTCATAACAGCTACAAACTGATTTCAACTCTTCTGGCTGGCTCAGGCGCTCCTGAGCCAGTCATGTCATTACCAATGCTGTAAGGGCTTTCTGAGTACCTCGCCTGAGGGGCCCTACATTCACAATCAGCACTACACGTCCATAGAATCTTATTCTGTATGATCTAATGGAATAGAGGCATCAACCATATGAGGGATGGGACAAGTCATGCATTGTTTAAAGGCTCAGATGGAGGGGAGAAGAAGGCTGAACCAAAAAGGGTCTTCTAGTGTGCACTTCGTAGTGTGCAATTGAGGCGACCCTGAGCCATTGGGTAAGAAACACCATAGCTGCTCACTGACTGATAGACACTGCAGTGTAGCCACCTCTCCCTGCTAGAACAATCCAGGTAGGTTCCTATGGCTCAATCGGACTCAGAACAGTCACTGCTTTTGGGGGACTTCTTCTTCCTCTTCCTCTTCCTCTTCTTCTTGTCCTTTTTCTTGTCCTTTTTCTTGTGCTTCCTCTTCTTGCGGCCGCCGGTGTCGGAGGAAGAGGAGGAGCTGTCCGAGTCGGAGGAAGAGGAGGTGGTGTCCTGCAGGAGTTGCTGCAGCTGCTGGATCCTGGAGAGAGGGAGGGGTTGAGAGAGAGAGAGGCGGAGAGATAGGGGGGAGGGAGAGAGAGAGAGGGATGAGAAAGATAGGGGGAGGGAGAGAAAGAGAGAGGGAAATAGACAGGGAGATGGGTTAGAACCATTCAAGGAGAGGTATGATGAACTGAAACACAGTATCTTCAGGCACAAACAAACACACACACATCCTCTTCTTGGAATATCCCAGAGAGTTTTCCTCTACAATCATTGGCCATCTCAGATTTAGCTCAGAAGTGTCCCTGGTTATGAATCAAGTCCTTTAACAGTGATGGTCAGCTGACAGCTGGTGAGTCCTGAGTATGGGGATTTGGATGGGCTACAGGTGCTTGCAGCTGGTGCTAAAGTGGGTCACGAGAGAGAGCGGGAGACAGAGAGAGTGCGAGCTCATTTCAGGCAGCCAGCAGAGTAGCACAGCACTGCAGCTCACACCAGACCAGACCAGATATCAAGATGCTGAAACACTGCCTGAGAAACACAACATTCTTCAATAAAATATGGATATAACACGAATGATCAAACAGTTCAGAGACCGAGGCATCCACTTCCTTTGATTAGCTCAAAACTTTACATTTCCATTGATTCGGTATGCTCAGAGAGGAACAAGAGAGCTTGTGCAAGTTGCAAGAGACTGAAAACAACCCAAACTTAAAACACGGTGGTTCCCGAGCAATCCTCAAACTTCATTAAGAATTCATCAGAGGAGCGTTGTTCTCTTCTATGTTGACAACATCCACCCAGAGAACAGTGAAGTAATCATAAGGACTGTTCAAGGCAAACACTCTGAGACAGAGCTGGGTTGACTCGTGGGTCCTTTGGCCAAGTCTACCACAAATACATTTCACTCCGTCTCTCATATCATCATAGCTCATATGATCCTGTAGAACATGTCCATCGCACACTCTCTCCTATCATACTCACATGAGTCTCTCATATTGCACCACAGTTCAGATGGTACTTTAAAACTTCTCTGTAGACACCAAAATTCACATTCAATGTCATTCATAGTAGTTTTTAAAGTACTTTTATTCACCAGTTTGATTATGTGCTGTGTCAGCTGTCAGGATGTGATTGATTTAGTCTAATTACATGTGGGCATTGACTTCAGTGTGTCCTCTGATGACTCAGAGTTTTCTTTCATGTGACTTTGTTGTTGTTCTTTCCCTGTGCTAAAATGCACTCAATTAATAATAGACTATTCTGACTGAGACAGTCGGAAAATGAAAGGGTTAGTTCACTCTAATTACAAATGTATGTCATCTTAACCTGATAACTGGAATGTAGCCTAGTCTATAAAAGCAGAGTATCGTCGTCAGTTTGTTTACTTGGATGTAGCTTAGCATCAGCATTGTTGGGAGCAAAACAAAGAGAATCGGAAAGTCCCCTGTGATCGTGCTCCAAAATAGCTTGTCTGAATCGATATAGTTACACAAGCAATGTCCTTTAAACGACCCCTATGCATCAGACTACCTTAACGATGACCAACTCCAAACAGTAGAGAAGGGGACATCTATTCAAACATTCTTCTGAAAAATAAGTTTTGTTTATAATAAAGTTTTTTGTTTTTTTAATAATAAAGCCAGAAAGTACCTTGTTTCTTTTTCATTGCGTTTGTTTTCTCGGATCAGGTCGTACATTGGGTCTTCGTGTGCCTGCAAGAAACACACGGTTTAGCTACATATTTACAACATTTCAAAGATAACATACATTGCAAAGCTCCAATGACAACAAGCACTGCAAGGTAAAACTCCATTCAGGCTTTTGGGCACATTATTTCCACCCATTCAACTCTCCTCTGCCGGATCAGCATTTTAAAATCCGGTTCTATCACAAAATATGATACACTTGCACTTATGATTATCATTGCAGTGGCATCGTTGCATGCAGGCCTACAGAAGAACTGCCCTGTGAATCTGCTGAGGAGTCCAGCTCCAGAAGCATCCAGCTGCAGCACAGATGCCTTCTGCGTCCCAAATGGCACCGATTCTCTATATAGTGCACTACTTTTTTACAAAAGTCAATATGGCTCCTGGTCAAAAGTAGTGCACTATATAGGGAGTAGGGTGCCATTTTGGGATGCAACCATACTGTGTCCAGCTGCATCAATAAAGCATGCTCATGGTCCCAGGCAGGCAAGCACGCAGACGTCCCCACAGGGTTATGGTTGGGACCAGGAGCAGACGTCCCCAGGGGGTTATGGTTGGGACCAGGAGCAGACGTCCCCAAGGGGTTATGGTTGGGACCAGTAGCAGACGTCCCCAAGGGGTTATGGTTGGGACCAGTAGCAGACGTCCCCAAGGGGTTATGGTTGGGACCAGGAGCAGACGTCCCCAAGGGGTTATGGTTGGGACCAGGAGCAGACGTCCCCAAGGGGTTATGGTTGGGACCAGGAGCAGACGTCCCAAAGGGTGTCTGCCAGTGCTAATCCTGGTCCTGGGGACTCATGTTTGTTTGAGCCCAGCAGTAACACATTTTATTTAAGTAGTCAAAAGGCTTGATGATCAGTTGAAAGATGGATGAATGGATGGACGGAAGGATGAGACTCACCACTCTGAACTGCTCCAGTTTCTGGTTTCCTTTGATGAAGAAGGGACACTCTCGGTCCCCTGTCCTGTGCCCATAGCGCTTGCATCTCCAACCTGCACAAGGGAGGGAGAATATAGTCATGTTTGTACCACAAGCACATTCACGTCTCCTGCCCGCTCAGAAATCACCCAAACAAGTTAGTGTTGGAAATTGGAAGAGATTCATATTTATTTTATATGGCTTGTAGGCTACACCTGTTTATGACTTAGCCTACATCTGACAAAATGTTTCTCAACTCCTTTTAATCTCTGAAACGCCACGCAATTAAAAATCACATTACAACATTTCGCCACCGTATTATCTGGAACATATTAGGATTTGGAATTCCACTGGAGAACAAATGAGAACTTTGTAGACTAACCCTGTATGATTTCTGTCCACTCGCATATCATGAAAACGAGTGGGACGGAGGGAGGGAGGGATGGATGGAGGAATTATTGGTGGGAAATAATGAAAGCCTTTGTTCTTTGAGGGACAAGCAGAACAAAAGTTAATCTCCGCTACACTGACTCGACCCTGACCTCATTAAAATGTAGTGCACTACATATTAGGGAAGAGGGCGCCATTTGGGCAGCACCCATAGCCACTCTCCGGTCTCTCTCAGTGGGGTTGAATTAAAGTGACACCCTCTGGACTGAGGGAAGCATGAAGAGGATAAGGACCAGGACTATCCAGCGATGAAGGCAACTTTCCTTGACTTTCTGCTATATTTTAATAGTGCTGTGCATGCTCACATAAGCATGGATGGACCTCTGCCATTTCACGCTGTACATTCTCTATATCTGTGATAGTGACCCACTTACAAAGGAGTGGCTATTTCATCCCAGTCGGTGGCAGAAGCACTACGTTTTTAAGGTTCTATCACATCAGTGTAGTCAAATTAAGAATAAATTCTGGTTCCGGTGGCATGCATTGAAACGTGTGTCTTTCTTTTCCTAATTACTTTGAATTAACGGACATACAGCATTTCCTAAAACTTGTCAATACTTAACATCCTATTAGCGCGAAAGCCCACCTGAACTTTGATCATATTAAGGTGTGGGACATTCATTCAAGAAATAACTAGGTCTATTACACTTCAGCAGCTAGAATGTCTGTCCACAATTCAACTGTGGGAACATGGCGTCTCTTAATACCAGACAACAGAAAGAGCTGGCCATTACTATACGAGAGATTGTTCGTGAGGAGATTACCTCTGCCCTCGACTTACAATTAAAACCAGTAAATGAATCATTGGCAGTGCTCACTGCTAAACTGGATACCTATTCAACCAAAGTGGAAAGTCTGGAGAGGCCAGCCAATAAGACAGAGGTGCGACTCCATGACCTGGAAACAGCGCAAGCTAGGTTGGAAGGGATAATCAAACTCCCAAAAGAGAAGACGGAATCACTCGAAAGTCATTCCCGGAAATTCAATGTGCGGGTCACAGGACTTGAAATTGGTGTAACGGTCAACCCAACTTCCTTCATGACCAATTTGTTCTATGAACTGTTCGGGCAGGAGAAGCTGTGTACCATGCCGCTGATTACCATTGCGCGTCACACGGGTCCTCTCCGGTACGGATCTCGCTGTATGATTGTGCGGATCCACAACTTTGAAGTCAAGCAGTGAATTATTCGCCTTGCAGCGGAACCCGGGGGTCTGACCTATGCAGGGAAGAGGATCAGCATTTACCCAGACCTGAGTGCTGAACTGCTGAAACAGAGGGAGACCTACAACGAGGTGAGAACCCAGCTACGCAAGCTAAACCTGAGATGCTGCTTCATCCACCTGGCAAAACTTATCTTGACCTTCCAGAATACAACACATACGTTTTCTACTGCCAAGGAGGCTCAAGACTTATTCTTATTATTCGATAAGCACATCAAGTCCAACAAACAAGGGGACGAGCTGACAGATCTAGGCTAACCCTAATTTGGCTGGCTCAATATTCATCAAGAAAATAGAAATTCGGCATATGAGCCTATCTGACCATCATGCTTATTACTGCCAGATACACATTTCAGAAACTCCTAAAAGAGCAACAAGATGACTCTTTAATGTTTCCTTACTACAAAATCTGACTTTATGTGAACAATTTGAAACTGAATTGAATGAATTCATAATGATTAACAAAAATTAAGTCGATGAGGAGGCTGCGTGAATCAGGCCTTCATGGTCGAATTGCTGCAAAGAAACCACTACTAAAGGACACCAATAAGAAGAAGAGACTTGCTTGGGCCAAGAAACACAAGCAATGGACATTAGACAGGTGGAAATCTGTCCTTTGGTCTGATGAGTCCAAATTTGAGATTTTTGGTTCCAACTGCCGTGTCTTTGTGAGACGCAGAGTAGGTGAACGGATGATCTCCACATGTGTGGGTCCCACCGTAAAGCATGGAGGAGGAGGTGTTATGGTGTGGGGGTGTTTTGCTGGTGACACTGTCTGTGATGTATTTAGAATTCAAGGCACACTTAACCAGCATGGCTACCACAGTATTCTGCAGCGATATGCCATCCCATCTGGTTTGCGCTTAGTGGGACTATCATTTGTTTTTCAACAGGACAATGACCCAACACACCTCCAGGCTGTGTAAGGGCTATTTTACCAAGAAGGAGAGTGATGGAGTGCTGCATCAGATGACCTGGCCTCCACAATCACCCGACCTCAACCAAATTGAGATGGTTTGGGATGAGTCGGACCGCAGAGTGAAGGAAAAGCAGCCAACAAGAGCTCAGCATGTGGGAACTCCTTCAAGACTGTTGGAAAAGCATTCCTGTTGAAGCTGGTTGAGAGAATGCCAAGAGTGTGCAAAGCTGTCATCAAGGCAAAGGGTGGCTACTTTGAAGAATCTAAAATATATTTTGATTTGTTTTAACACTTTTTTGATTCCATATGTGTTATTTCATAGTTTTGATGTCTTCACTATTATTCTACAATGTAGAAAATAAAGAAGAACCCTGGAATGAGTAGGTGTGTCCAAACTTTTGACTGGTACTGTATATATCGGCAGGATGTGGGGCGGGGGGTGACTGACGAGCAACCCTAGTTGCTAGGGGGGGGGGGAAACATGGGGTGGGGGGGGGGGAAACATGGGGTGGGGGGGGGGGAAACATGGGGTGGGGGGTGGGAAACATGGTTTCCGGGAGTGGGGCGGTTGGATGGAGACATGTTGGCTGGGTGGGGTTTGGGGGAATGGGAGGTTGGGGTGGAGGCCCACTAATGTTTTCTTTTCTTTTCCTGTTTATACTGAATTTATTATTAAACTCTGCATGTATTTCTTACTGTTTTTATTTTCTTTTGAGTGGCAGCCTACGGGTACAGGTTTTATAAACGTATCATTTAAAATGGATAATGTACCTGTAACTCCCCCCCCCAAAAAAGTATGAATAAATTGTGTGTGACTATAGAAGTACTCTCGCGACCAACCTCTTCTTACATGCCCAGGGCCCACTTTGGGTCCCGACCCATAGTTTAAGAAACCCTGGATAGATGAAGGACAGGAGACGAAGGACAAGGTGAGGAAGCTACATTAAACTTTTGAGATGCATCCCAAAGTTTAGGGATGTATCCCAAATGGCAGCCTATTCCCTATATAGTGCAATCCTTTTGACCAGGGTGCCATTGGGGATGCAGGACACTCATAATAACCCTCTGTGTTTATACTCACACTGCATGACTTTCACCTCCTTCCCCAGAGGCATCCACAGCCCCTTGGTGGGGGCGTGAGCCAGGAAGTCCCTAGCATCCTCATTTCCTGGATCAGCAGGAATACAGTCCTCTGGTTTGTACTCCTCCGCCTAAAAAACACAGTCACCGTGTTTCAAGTAGATGCAAGATGCCACATATTCCAGTTTCCATTATAATGCATGTTAGCCTGAGTGCCAGTCTGCTTGTGCTCTTATGCCAACTCCTTGTCACTCATCGTCATGCTTTGGCTTGACAACAGACAGACAGAGCCGGCAAGAACACAAACGGATCTGGGACCAGGCTAAATGCATGTCCTTCTACTGATAAATGAACTATTCCATATTATTTTATCTCAGTTATTAATTAACTGGTAATAAAGCAAGTAGACAAAAATGTGCATCTACTAAACCTTTATGAGTCCAGGAGGAGGTTTTTCATAACTGCATAGAGGGGAAAAGAAAACAATGCTTGTGAGAATCAATATGATGATAAACTTTGTGTGTAGGTAGCTAGGTACCCCTTGATGCAGTATCTGAGCAAAGGAGACGTTGAATATGAATCACGTCACATGCATCGTCTCCCTTGTCCAGATAGTGGTTAAGGTACAGTACCCCTGTGCAAGTTCTACCAGCCAAGGGCAAGGCACAGTATCAGAACTGAAATGATGGGAAGCGTTGCTAGCATTAAGGCTAAATCCCATGGCAGATCAACTACACTGTTATGTTTTATTAACACAAGTTCGATACCACCGAAAAACGTGTCCTTTACTTACAAGGTCTCCAAATGCTTCAGCTTTTGCACTTCTTGGTTGAGTTTTTTCGCTTGTTTCTTGAGTTTTTCCACATCGTGTTTTGATTCCTTGTGCCTTTTGCGGTCCCCTCTGTCCTCCGAGTCTCGCGATCTCTTTCTACTAGACATTGCAATGTCATTGGATAACTAGCTATGTTTATGAAATAACACTTTAATTTGAGTTTGATACGATTTCTAATCACAAATTCGTTGAAGTGAATCACTTTTTAGAGAAAATACATTCGGGACTAAGTCAGGACATCTTTCTCGAACTCTGCACAGCTACTTCCTGTTTCTGTTTGCGCATGCCATCTGTAAACGCAGCGCCGCCTGCAGGTCAAAGGGAGTCTAGGACGCCTGATCTACAGCCAGGTCTATGCTTAGGTAAAGGGAGGTCTGTGGTGGTTTATAAAGAGCAGTTAGTTATTCATTCCATTCTTCTTTGGAGTTTAATGGCAGTTATCGTTATATCAGCAAAGTGTTGCCCAAGCTATATTATACACTATAATGTGCTTATAAACGGTGTATGTGTAGAAGCATTAAAGGGACAATCTGGGATTCATACTCTACATCAATGTTTGGACTTTAGATTAATGAGCCATTGATTCATATTACTTCAAAATGCCTCATGAGTTGTTAAACTGTCATACACCCACAAGCTTGCTTTCTAAACAATGTAATTGTAAACAAACAGTATAGTTTCAAAACATGGTTAAACTATCATATTGATCTCATGGATGGTCAGTCCAACCCCATTCCTGAGGTGTTTAATCAAAACAAGTAGTTGGGTGACCCTTTAAAGTTTTATCTGTAGCACTTAAAAATGTGTAAGTTGTGACTGTCTTCTGAAAACACGCATTGTGAATGCCAGTGGTGTAAAGTACTTAAGTAAAAATACTTAAAATATCTACTTAAGTCGTTTTTGGGGGTATCTGTACTTCACTATTTATATTTTTGACAACTTTTACTTCACTACATTCCTAAAGAAAATAATGTACTTTTTACTCCATACATTTTCCCTGACACCCAAGAGTACTCGTTACATTTTTAATGCTTAGCAGGACAGGAAAATTGTCAAAATCACACACTTATCAAGTGGTCCTCTGTAGCTCAATTGGTAGAGCATGGCGCTTGTAACGCCAGGGTAGTGGGTTCGATCCCCGGGACCACCCATACGTAAAAATGTATGCACGCATGACTGTAAGTCGCTTTGGATAAAAGCGTCTGCTAAATGGCATATTATTATTATTATATTAACACCACTGGTCAGCCGTACTGCCTCTGATCTGACGGACTCACTAAACACACATGCTTCATTTGTAAATTATATCAGTGTTGGAGTGTGCCCCTTGCGATCCGTGAATAAAAAATGGTGCCGTCTGGTTTGCTTAATATAAGGAATTTAAAATTATTATACTTTTGATACTTAAGTAGATTTAAAACCAAATACTTTTACTCAAGTAGTATTTTACAGGGTGACTTTCACTTGAGTCATTTTCTATTAAGGCATCTTTACTTTTACTCAAGTATGACAATTGGGTACTCCCCCCCCACCCCAACTGGTGAATGCATTGCAACGCTGACACGCAACATATCTGAGTTCTATCATGCAACACAGTAATAAGACTGAAAAACGTTTTTATTTCACAGAATATAAAATATGAGGTATTTCAGGATTCTGTGCAATGCTACATTGGATTAATTATGAACAAAGAAAAACATTTCTGTCACTAAATGCATTAGAAAGTGTGTTGGAACAAAGCAGACATTAGAAAAAGCAGTCTAATAGACATTGTGAATCTAAACTGTAATGTAAAAACTCTTCAAACTAACAGGTAAAAAGTGAAACCTTCAACATGAAAGCCATCTTCAACAAACATGAAACTACTGAAAGAAATTCATGACATGTTTGGTTTGTCATTGAAGTTCAGACATATAACCTATTTCATTGTAAACAGTTGATGCGTCCCATTCATCCAAATATGATCATCTCAAAACCACCAGTATATAAAAATTTGACCTTTACATAAAAGTAAAACATTTGGCACAGTGATCATAAGATAGTTGCACCACATAAACAAATGTGTAAACAGCTACAGATCAGCCCTACTTGGCTGGTGACCTCACAAGAGAAGAGTGAGAAAGTTAAGTCCGCGAAAATAAATCAACCAATAAAATAAGTGAAGGAGAACAAAAAAAACAATAATACATAAATAAATACTTAAAGAAGCATGAAACTTAAGCGTGAATATAAACGTATAAGTCATATTTATCATATAAATGTGATTTTTATTTGTTACAATCACCCTCTCAATCAAAACATCCTATAACTCGAAACGAGTTATTCTGCTTGCCTCGTCATAAATAACATGGAAGAGAAGGGGGAGCTTTTCGCTTCCGATGCCGTTCGCGCCATCCATAGGGACAATGGAATTCCTCAAGGATGCCGTGGTGTGGGACCATTCTACGGAAGGGGGACCTCAGGGGCTGTTGGGGGGTGGCATGTGAAGAAACAAACATATCCCTTTAATTAGCTCAACAGGAAGCCCTGTAGAACTTATTGACTGACAGCTGACCCCTCCCCCCTTGTTGTTCTGAATTCCAGGAGGGCCATTCTGAATTCCTGCAGGGCCATTCTGAATTGTAAGCAGGCCAGCGAGAGCCTGGTGTATCAGTGTCATATCATGGTGGTGTAATGGCTGACTGTTGGGCCAATGCAGTGGAGCCAAGTGTTTGTCAGTCATTCAGAGAGAGGAGAGGAAGTCTTTGAGTCCTCCCCTTGGTCTTGGTCTTCTGCTTGTCCTCCAGCATGAGGAACCGCTTGAGGCGGGAGAAGGCAGACTTCACGCTGGCGGGCTTGGAGGTCGAGGAGGAACTGGTGGTCTCAGAGGATATTGACCTGGAAATACAGTCATGTCAGAATCTGCACACTGACACAGATTAAAGGTGACCTATTGAAAAGTATAGGACCACACATTGTCCATCAGTTTAGTGATATCATCTATTGCCCTCACTTCCCAAGAAGTCCCTTAAATGCTGATTTTCACCTCGGCGAGACGTAGCCTATATCAATAAAATAGTTGACAATTTAGGTACCAGAGGCCTGGTATTGTTTGTTTACCTTGGCGTACTGCAGGCTGTCTTGTCTTTGGAGGCAGACTTTGGTATGCCCATGGCATTGGTTCTGTTGGTGGACTGGGGAGTCTTGCGTTTGCCTGTGCTCCCGTGGCTCTTGGAGAGAGCGGCCATGAAGTCCCTGTTGACACCGTTGTGCCTGGCCGTGTTGTTATAGGTATGGCAGGTAGCCATCTGGGATGGGGAGAGGAGGATGGGATGAGATTATAAGCACGAGTAATGTTGACAAACTCATTGTTTCGATTAAATTTCACATAAGGAACATGATTCTCCTGTGGAGATTATGTTTCTTTCCAAATCGATCCTTAAGAGGACACAAAGACCCTATCGGCCCTGGTCAAAAGTAATGCACTAAATAGGGAATAGATTAATGATTTCAGAGGTTTAAAAAACCCCAGAAAGGAACAATATAAACCGTTACTTTTTTGGGGTTCGAACCGGTTCAGAACTTCATTTTGCTGGTTGGAACTGAACAAAAAAAAAAGTGTTATTTTCAGAGCTAAACAATTAGAAAAATAATATTGGTTCCAACCCCTGCTCAAGAGACTGTCTCTCAGTCATTCTCCTTTCGTCTCACCCTCTGCCCTCCTTCTCACAGCAGATCATTACTTAGAAGACAGTTTTCCTCCTGAGACCATTCACTTACTAAACATCTGCTGTGTTTTTATCTCTGCAACTATGCTTTAAAGGCTACAAAATGGCCTGTGTAATGTGTCATACGGACTTTTGCATTTCAAATATTTCCTCATTGTGCTTTTCCATTAAATATTGTGTACAAGTAAATCAAATGCAATGAGGCACATGCAAAGCCTATGAAATCTAGCCTAATATATTTATTATATGGCATTGGAAATGTAATACACACTTGAAACTAAGCCGCTGGGAGTCAATGTCAATGTTGTTCCAGTGATCCAAGACTGATTGGCATCTACTGGAGCCCTGCCTGTCCTGCCCGACAACAACCATTTGTGGCCTGAACGTTTAAAGTGCGTGTGGTCGTTTTATGAGTTGGGTCTATAAACAGCGACACAAACGGCCTGTCACACGGTCCACTGAAACTTTACCAGCCTATAACGTGCCCTGCAGCACACAAACAGAACAGGCATCAGTCCGTCACCAAATCCTTACTCAAGCAGATCAAAAAGTGTTAGTGTTACATTTGTTGTAACATAACGATGACGAAATCAAGTAAATCTACCCCACCCAACGACGTCAGGACTCCCCTAATCTCTCGTGGATAGACTACGTAAACATAACACGTAAACATGTACATCTGACCAAATTACGCAAGATTTTAGTTCTGTGTTAACCGAGATAAGGACACCCCAAAAACAACAAATTCAACATCACTGACAAGCACATCCCAAATGACATCCCAAACCTTTGATACCAACACATCCATAATTTCCCTGAGCCAAACTGCACCCATAGGTGTTACGCGAAACAGAAACAAAAACGCAGTGTCAGTAGATTCTGAGTCAGGCTGTTGAGCGTGCTGAATGCTGATGCTGTGCAAAACAACTCACCGAGACGAAGGTAGCCATACTGCTGAGGATAGACTATAGAGTCTAACAGATGGCAGAATAGTTTCTCTAAACCAGGTGACAGAAGTTCTCAGAGTAAAGTTTCGCTGATTCAGTGATGACCTAGCAGACGTAAGTATAAAAAAAAAACAGAGCTTCTCTCTATCTATGTGACTGTCTGAGAGAATGTTTATTACTGAGCCTGGTGTATCCAGTTTTATAAAGCAGAGAGCAGCCGAGCCCACCTGGAGCCCAACAGCTGTTCAGCCAATCTTTCAACAGCAGGGGCGGAAGGGGGCTGGGCGTGTAAATGTTTTTGACTCCCGCGGTTGTGTTGTCACGGACTGTCACTTCCCATGCCAACAATCCTAATCCATACTCACATCCTCCAGAAAACTCTGGATTAAAGTGCTCCCCCCCCCGAAAAGGTTGCCCTATTTAGATAGGTGGTGGTTGGCCGGGTTAGATAAGGCCATATAGGGAAGTTAGTCAATGGTGATATGTCCAAAAATCTGCACAATCAGGTGTGCTATTTTCACATATCATCATACACATCATATTTTGACCATATTAGTATTAGTTCAACCAATTTTCAAATGATAAAAGCACCATACAGACACAGCGACAGTCTTTGATAGTGGAACCTAGCAGGTGTGCCAATGACACTATGCATTTGTAAAGCTCATTTTCGTTGGTATCCACTTGTTTTCTCATCTGACATTTTGTGAAATCACATACAGTAAGTATTAAAGGGGAAGTTCAGTATTTTACAACATCATGTTAGATGGGTCCTCACCCTGAAGGTAGTCTATGGGCCAGACGAAACTGTAATCTATGGTTTGGTTTTCTCTGAACAGCCACTACAAACTTCAGCTAACTTTAGCCACAGATAGCTAGCTCACTCCCATTTATTGTTAGCTAGCGGTGGCTAAAATTAGCTGAAGTTTGTGGTGTCTGTTAAAAGAAAACAGAGCCATGGATGACAGTTTATCCTAGCCCATAGTCTACTTTCAGGGTGAGGAACCATTTAACATTGAGTTGAAAAATACTGAATGTATATGTGAACAATATATTTGGACTGGGGACAAGAACTGTGTGCCACCTACGTTGAGGGGAAAAAAACAACCCTGGCCTAAAAATGACCACCACTAGTACAGAATGTCCTACTGATCTACAGTGCCTTGCAAAAGTATTCATCCCCCTTGGCGTTTTTCCTATTTTGTTGCATTACAACCTGTAATTTAAATGGATTTTTATTTGGATTTAATCTAATGGACATACACAAAATAGTCAAAATTGGTGAAGTGAAATGAAAAAAATAACTTGCTTCAAAAAATTCTAAAAAATAAATAAAGGAAAAGTTGTGCGTGCATATGTATTCACCCCCTTTGCTATGAAGGCCCTAAATAAGATCTGGTGCAACCAATTACCTTCAGAAGTCACATAATTAGTTAAATAAAGTCCACCTGTGTGCAATCTAAGTGTCACATGATCTGTCACATGATCTCAGTATATATACACCTGTTCTGAAAGGCCCCAGAGTCTGCAACACCACTAAGCAAGGGGCACCACCAAGCAAGGGGCGCCATGAAGACCAAGGAGCTCTCCAAACACGTCAGGAAAAAGTTGTGGAGAAGTACAGATCAGGGTTGGGTTATAAAAAAAAAAAAAAAACTTTGAACATCCCACGGAGCACAATTAAATCCATTATTAAAAAATGGAAAGAATATGGCACCACAACAAACCTGCCAAGAGAGGGCCGCCCATCAAAACTCACGGACCAGGCAAGGAGGGAATTAATCAGAGAGGCAACAAAGAGACCAAAGATAACCCTGAAGGAGCTGCAAAGCTCCACAGCGGAGATTGGAGTATCTGTCCATAGGACCACTTTAAGCCGTACACTCCACAGAGCTGGGCTTTACAGAAGAGTGGCAAGAAAAAAGCCATTGCTTAAAGAAAAAAATAAGCCATGTGGGAGACTCCCCAAACATATGGAATAAGGTACTCTGGTCAGATGAGACTAAAATTGAGCTTTTTGGCCATCAAGGATAAACACTATGTCTGGTGCAAACCCAACACCTCTCATCACCCCAAGAACACCATCCCCACATTGAAGCATGGTGGTGGCAGCATCATGCTGTGGGGATGTTTTTCTTCAGCAGGGACTGGGAAACTGGTCAGAATTGAAGGAATGATGGATGGCGCTAAATACAGGGAAATTCTTGAGGGAAACCTGTTTGTCTTCCAGAGATTTGAGACTGGGACGGAGGTTCACCTTCCAGCAGGACAATGACCCTAAGCATATTGCTAAGGCAACACTTGAGTGGTTTAAGGGGAAACATTTAAATATCTTGGAATGGCCTAGTCAAAGCCCAGACCTCAATCCAATTGAGAATCTGTGGTATGACTTAAAGATTGCTGTACACCAGCAGAACCCTTCCAACTTGAAGGAGCTGGAGCAGTTTTGCCTTGAAGAATGGGCAAAAATCCCAGTGGCTAGATGTGCCAAGCTTATAGAGACATACCCCAAGAGACTTGCAGCTCTAATTGCTGCAAAAGGTGGCTCTACAAAGTATTGACTTTGGGGGGGTGAATAGTTATGCACGCTCAAGTTTTTTTTGTTTTTCTTAATTCTTGTTTGTTTCACAATTTTTTTTATTTTGCATCTTCAAAGTGGTAGGCATGTTGTGTATATTAAATGATACAAACCCCCCAAAAATAAATTTTAATTCCAGGTTGTAAGGCAACAAAATAGGAAAAATGCCAAGGGGGGGTGAATACTTTCACAAGCCACTGTATATCAATACATAACTTTACTTAGGCTGATTCATATCTGCTATGCAGCCTTTGTATAAAAGAAGACAGTAAAAGTTATAGGTGATCATAACAAAAAATCTATAAATACAACAGTGCCATGGAGACAAGATGTGAACAGCAATGACTACTAACTTTATGTCAGTCCCAGAATAGGCCACCAATGGAAACTTCAGTTGACAGATGGCTGGGCTCATTTCAAGCTGTAGTGAGGAGAGCCCACAATAAAAGCCTCCCCATCAGAAACATTACTCCAAATCCCCCTCAAAATAGCCTATGCTCCCCTAAACGTTTAAATATAACAATCGGATCAAAAACAATATTAAGGGTGGATAAAACATTAAGAACACCTGCTCTTTGCATGACATAGGCTGACCATGTGGATCCAGGTGAAAGCTATGATCCCTTATTGATGACACTTGTTAAATCCACTTCAATCAGTGTAGACGAAGGGGAGGAGACCGGTCAAAGAAGGATTTTTAAGCCTTGAGACATGGATTGTGTATGTGTGCCATTCAGAGGGTGAATGGGCAAGACAAAATATTTAAGTGCCTTTGAACTGGGTATGGTAGTAGGTGCCAGGCGCACCGGTTTGAGTGTGTCAAGAACTGCAACGCTGCTGGGTTTTTCACGCTCAACAGTTTCCCATCTGTATCAAGAATTGTCCACCACCCAAAGGACATCCAGCCAACATTACACATCGGTGGGAAGCGTTGGAGTCAACATGGGCTAGCATTCCTGTGGGCAAAAGGGGGATGCAACTCAATATTAGGAAGGTGTTCCTAAGATTTTGTACACTCTGAGTATGTCTGATAATGGAGACATCGCTGGTACACT